TATTTCTTGCTTTTATCTTCGATGTTTAGGTCCCACCAAAAACAAGAAACCCACTAAGAGAGAATGCTCGAAGAATATTCGAATTGGTGGGCATTTTTATGAAAATCTCTTGTTCTCATCCATCTAAAACACTGAGTCTAACTTCTTTTATCTCCATATGTTATCATCCACAATCAATACGACAACTTTCACTCGCATTTCAAGTCATTTTGTTTTCAAGATGTTCGAGAATTTTATTACCTTTCTCTGTTTCGAGAAAAAATCAGATTTTTCCAAGCGATGCATTTTGAGATGGCTTCTCATCCACTCGTCATGAATTTTTCTTTGTCTGGGAATTAATAGCCACCGCTAAGAAGTTTGCACTCAAAGCTTTGGAATTGTGTCAGAATTTTTTTTCAGATGAAAAATCCCGCTCAAAGAGCTCATATCTACTTCAAAGCCAAGCCACTAGTGGACCAATACACAAAAGATCCTAACAATTTCGGTACTTTTCGAAATCCGATGCTATTAAGCTACGTAACTGCAATGTTCCAATTACAGAGGATTTTTGTAAGGCATATGAAAAAATTATCAACGAAGAAGTTGAAAAGGCACGTTTGATGGCAGATCCAACAAGTGCCGAGGGTCAACGTCTAATTCAAGAACAAATTCAACTTGAAAATATTAATTACTCATACGCTCAAGTAAGTATCTGCTTCTGCGATTATTGGTAAACGCTCTACTTGTCTTAAATCATTTTTCGAGTTGCAGGCATTGGAACATACTCCTGAAGCGTACATACCTGTTCACATGTTGTACATACGAATGGAGATAAATGGACACCCTGTGAAAGCGTTTGTTGACTCGGGTAGCTCTTTAGAGGAACCGCATCTCATTTTGCTATCTTTTACTGAAGAGAAAATCCGGTTCTCGTTTGACATCAGAGAAAGTCATACGCGTGCCCTGTGCGCCGTCTTTTTGACATTTTTGCAAGCAAGTGTCACTAGTGATCAATGGTAGCACTAGCTTTTCATTAATTGCCTTATTCTATCATTTTGGTTCATCTTGATTACACGATTGAAGCAAGGTTGAAAATGTATTTTCACTCTCCTTTTTACTCATATTTCAGGAGCTCAAGTCTCAATTTTATCGGAAGCATGCGCGCAGAGATGTGAACTCTCTCATCTAATTGACAAGCGTTTCACTGGAACAGCCAGAGGTGTTGGAGGGTTCCAAAAGTTTGTCGGAAAAATACATTCTTGTACGTCATTTGTGTCATTTTTTCCTTTTTAGTAACCATATTTAAGGCCAAGTGAAAGTGGAAGATCACTTTTTTCCATGTAATTTTGATGTCATGACTGACCGAGAAATGGATCTTTTGCTTGGTTTGAATATTTTAAAGCGCCATCGATGCAACATTAATCTCAAAACCAATATGTATGATTTCTGATTTTTGCATATTAATAACTTTGCTTCCAATCTTGCTAAACAGGCTGGAAATGGGTGACGGGACAAAAACACCATTTTTGTCTGAAGCAGAGATTCATGCACATTTAGAAGATCTAGCCGAATCAGGTTATTGTTCATTTAAGAAGCAAGATACATTGAAAGG